ACAGTGAGAGCCATTATCCACAAATGGCGAAAACATGGAACAGTGGAGAACCTTCCCAGGAGTGGCCAGCCGACCAAAATTACCCCAAGAGCGCAGCGACAACTCATCCAAGAGGTCACAAAAGACCCCACAACAACATCCAAAGAACTGCAGGCCTCACTTGCCTCAGTTAAGCTGAGTGTTCATGACTCCACCATAAGAAAGAGACTGGGCAAAAATGGTTTGCATGGCAGAGTTCCAAGACGAAAACCACTGCTGAGCAAAAAGAACATAAAGGCTCGTCTCAGTTTTGCCAGAAAACATCTTGATGATCCCCAAGACTTTTGGGATAATACTCTGTGGACAGACGAGACAAAAGTTGAACTTTTTGGAAGGTGTGTGTCCCATTATGTGTGGCGTAAAAGTAACACCGCATTTCAGAAAAAGAACATCATACCAACAGTAAAATATGGTGGTGGTAGTGGGATGGTCTGGGGCTGTTTTGCTGCTTCAGGCCCTGGAAGACATGCTGTGATAAGTGGAACCATGAATTCTGCTGTGTACCAAAATATCTGCAGTCCCCAAGCTTTAGAAATGGCTTTATAACCTTTTCCGGACTGATAGAGCTCCATTATTCTCTTTCTCATTTGTTTTTGAATTTCTTTGGATCTCGGCATGATGTCTAGCTTTTGAGGATCTTTTGGTCTACTTCACTTTGTCAGGCAGGTCCTATTTAAGTGATTTCTTGATTGCGAACAGGTGTGGCAAGAGAAATTGAACTCAGGTGCGATAAACCAGTGTTTTGACAGGGGGGCAAACACTTGTTCACACAGGGCTCTATAGTTTTGGATTTTGTTTTCCCTTAATAATAAAAACCTTCATTTAAAAACTGCATGATGTGTTTACTTGTGTTATCTTTGACTAATATATAAATTTGTTTGACGATCTGAAACATTACAGTGTGACAAACATGCAAAAAGATAAGAAATCAGTAAGGGGGCAAACACTTTTTCACACCACTGTACACTGCATGTCAAAATTGGGTTATTTGGTAAGAAGGAGAGTGCATGGTTTCATTGGCAAAAATAAAAGACTGGAATAGGCAGTTCAAATAGTAAAATATCTTTCAAGTATAACCACATTATCTATTACACTGTCAATGTTTTCTCCCATCAGCAGAGGGTCTTCTGGCTCTGCTAGCTTTAAAAAAATTTCCCAGTGGAACAGAGTTATGCATGTGCCTTAAGATTCGTAAATTTGGCTGGCCTTGTAACTTCGTGAATGGCCTCAGCTGGTTCGCTTTCAACAATCTATTTATTTATTTTTAATGTGGTTATTGTCACATTTTATAAAACCTGCATTAACAAGCACTGGAATACTTGCGCCATCAGTCTGACCACAGTGTAAGAACATTTTGTGTGACAAGCCAGATGTTTGATCATTGGACAAGACTGCTCAAGCAGTAGCAGCAATCTGCTTGAACAACAATCTGCACACTTAGAGGGGGTCTGCTCTTTTTGTATTTCACCTCCTGCATTTAGATTCATACTGGGCATCATGAGAGATGTAGGCTTAAAATGCATATCTGAGGTTACTAGGACCAGGGTTTATCGCTAGCATAGGTCTGACATTTGTGTCACCTCTGAACTGAGGTCACCATGTAACTCATGGCATTGTCTTTCTCGAGGCTGAGGGCATAGAGAGGAGGAATGGAATAAGGAGAAAAAAAGAGAGTTTAATAAGACGTGCAGCTGATGACTAAGCAGTGTGAGCGGGAGGTTTGAGAGATGAGTCAGCAGAAGTCTTTAAACAAGAAGCCTCCACACAGACAAGGCCATTGAAGAGAAGCAGAGAAGAATACTGACAGGATGAAAGCTTCATAATAGACAGGAAGGTATTGACCTGAAGAAGAGGTGCAGAGCAGTGTGGGCAGAGTGTGCAAACTGTGTGGGTTGTGCCTCAGATAGACAAGACAGTAGGGGTGAGAGGAAAAAAATCGATTTGCATTAGAATCGCGATTCATAACTTCTATGACTAAATCAATTCAACAATGCTGAAAATTGATTTTTGTCAATGTTGACAGAGCGAAAAAGGCAGAATTCCACCGTGAAGCCAATGTTGCACACAGACAGTGGACAGCACGCACATACTAAAATTGTGCTGTACATCTACAGTTGTAAAGTTAGTTCATCTTCAGAAAAGGAATTAATTTGCATGTATTAATTAAATACTTGATAGTAGCCGTCTCTGGTAGGCTAGTGGTTAAGGCACAGCGCTCTCGCCGTTGTGGCCCAGGTTCGAATCAGGGTTCCGTCAGGAAGGGCATCCAGTGTAAAACACATGCCAAATGTCAACATGCAAGTCGTCAGTGTGATGATTCGCTGTGGCGACCCCTAAACGGGAAAAGCAGAAAGTGACTTTCTAATTACTTGATAGTAATCAGTGAAGGACAAGCACTAAGTGAATACTTTGTAGCCCATCACCAACAGACTGACGTTGGTGTAGCATAGCATTGAATGTATTAACAAACGGCGGCACAGTGCAGCACTTCAAACTGGTAGGACGAAGAAAAAAACCTCATTTCTACAGACCTGTGCCTGTTTTGGATTACATTGGTTTTCTCTGGCAGTAACGCTGTAGCACAAACACTGTTTTCTACTGCTGCAGACGTAAAATTACCAACAACACAAGTGAACATGTTGCTTTGTTCCTCCCCCTCCCCTTTACAAAACATGCCAGGTACCAAAACCCAGTGTTGGGAAAAGTACTCGCAGTCTTTACTGAGGTAGCACTATCAGTACCACATTGTGAAAATAATAGTAAAAATCCTGCATTAAAAAAATTATTTAAATAAAAGCACAAATTATTGGTATCAAAATATAACTTAAAGTAGTAAAAGTACTCTTTATGGCATATTATTATAGTTATTGGACTATAAATACTAATACATTGTGTTCATCACATTTGATACTTCATCTGGTAAAGGTGGAACTAATTTTAATAACCTTATAAACTTATAATTTCAAGTACTTTACATACTGTTGAGTAGCATTATGTAAAGTACTTGGTTTTGATGCTCATCAAAACCAGTTAGCTTAACTGTTAAGTTTTATTAGCGGCTCAGCTAAGGACAGAAATCAGTTGTATGACGCACAGTAAACTAGAATAACAGCCAAGAGCCAACATATCTTCTGCTTTCTTTTCTTTTTCTTTTTTTTTATTTGAATCTGTTTTTTCAATGGAAAATTGTCATGAATCAACTTGAATTGTGAGTTTGTCAAAGATTCCCACCCCTGCAGGACAAGGCAGCTGGAAAATTATTATTATTATAACAATTTTATGAATGTAAGAAGCAAGAGTGAGCACATATAAACTGATGAGTGAAATAAAACTTTTCACTACTCTGTTTACATTTCTGTCAGTTTTCTTTTAGAGTTTAATGTGTTTAAGTAATTTAAAAAATAGCTTGTTATATATGGTTATGTATATAGTATTTTATTTGTTAGTTTATTTGTGATAGCCAGTTGTTTGCAGTTCACCTAATAGATATTACAGGAAGAATAACTATTGGGGATTGTGGCTTATTTGCCATTTAAATTCATAATACTGTGCAGAAAATGTTTGGCAACATCTGTTCACCTCTATTCTAAACTGAACAGAGACGATTAGTCTGTCTTTTTTTTTAAGATTAAAAACAGCATGCATAATTAAATTAGTCACAGAGCCATACACGGAGAGATTCCTTTGCTCTAATCAGCCGCAGTCCTGAAAGAGGGAGAGGGGCCACAGAATAATTAATCAGTTGGTGATCATCCAGGGTGATGTGAGGGATTGACCTACTTTTGACAGCCAAGAGGTTCTGACTGAGAGCTGAAAACTGCATTAAACATATGGTGTACCTAAATTAAGTCTGATGCTAGAACCAAATTGTTGGTGATTTTGAATTTTGCTAACACATAGCTGACAAAATCCAAACATTGTGGATATAGCTGATCGTTCCTAATGCAGCAACACATTGTCACTTCACCCCCACCATCCGCTTGTTTCTCTATGTCCTCCTGCCTCTTTGCTTTCTCACTTTACCCTCCTGGGTCCATTTATTTCTTATAACCTCCTCCTGTCTTTTTCAGTCAACATCCTTTTTCTTCTCAATAACACACTTCGAGAAGAGCCTCTTATTTGTTTTCTTTGAAGTGCTTCTTTATTCAGTGCCACTGTCTGTGTGTATGTGTCCCCCCACTTGCCTGTCTTGTTAGATTTTGGCTCGCACCCAAAGCAGGTTTTTTCAGGTCATTGTCAGTTTTGTGCTCTCTCCCTCTCCCTCTCCTTCTCTCCCTTGCACACTCCCTCTTTTGCAGCTCCAGACATTGCAGTGTGAATACGCAGACACACATACACACCACACTGGTTGCTGTCAGGGAGAAACTGCTGCAGAGTGTGTGTGGCAGGAGTCTCTTAAAGGACCTTTTGCTGTAGTCGAGCAGTAATGCTCAACCTGCAGTGCTCATCATCTTGCTGGCAGATATCTCTACCATCCTCCAGCGCTTTTCCTTTCCTTTCTCTGTCCGTCACGCACTCAGCCGTGATACCTCACACTTTCTTCCTTATTTTTCTCCTTTTTCAGTCGTCAGCTCTCAATCATTGTTGTTTTTTTCCGTCCGCCGACACTCGTTGTGTTGCAAGTTGTGGGTGACAGGGTTAAAGCCTTTAGAGATGTGTGAGTCATCAGTATTGCTGTAGTCAGAAGAGGGGGAATCTCCTGTCTTTTGCCTTCCTCCTCCTATCTCGCTTCAGCTGGACTTAAACCTGATGAGGAAACGTTGGCGTGAGTCATGTTGTCATGTGAATCTGTGTGTGGGTGTGCATGTGTGTATTATATCAAATGGGATATATGAGAGGTTCCTGTTTGTGTTCTCATAAAAAAATCTTTCTTCTGTTGTCTGTGTGTGTGTGTGTGTGTGTGTGTGTGCGCGTGTGCGTGCACATGGGCCCTTGTATGTACACGTGTGTGGTGTGCACAGGCAGGTTCAGGGTCTCCCACCATGGCTGCGGCCATCCAGGATTTCCAGAGGTCAGAGTTAGACCGACTCAACGAAGTCAAAGGGCACCTGGAAATTGCCTTACTGGAGAAACATTTCCTACGTGAGTACGCACACGCATGACACGAGACCTGGACTAGATCACTGTTTCAGACATTTCCGAGTTAACACACATGCGACTAAACACACTCTAAATTGACTGCTACAGAGGTGGGTCAGTAGTGTTTCAGGGAGTAGGAGAAGACTAGCCATAGTTTTGAACAATTGAACACTTATTATGGAGCAATAGTCAACAGCATTTAGTTGGGATGTAACAATATTTGTAATTTCATGATGTATGAAATATAAAATTTTTTGATACCATCGTGGCACTGTGACAGTATCTACCTGGATATTACATGTGGTTATTTTGCTAACATAACTATGCTTAGGTTTCAGAATTTGAAACATAGTTGATACTCCATTGTCGACTTTTAGAGCAGCATTTCAGTTTTTCTTCTTCAAGAAATGGCACAGACAGACTGACCAACAATTTGCAAATACTGCTAGACAAATGCACTGCTAGCCCCATTTAGGACTGAGACACTCATGGATGCATCTCACAAAAACAGTTGGGACAGCTGTGAGCTACATCTTAATGGAGATGTGCAAACAAAGCCGTTGTACAAATGAAAAACCAACCACCCAGTAACCCCCCCCAAAGACTTTTCTCTTGAAAAGGTAAACTGCAATGTTTGACATACACCTCTGTCACATTTATGTGGCTTGTCCTAGTGTAGTTTGGCGTTGTCTTCTCCTTGTTCTAATGCGCCAAACAGCAATTTGCTCACTACTGCCCCCACTGGTCCAGTGACAGAAGTTGACCACCAGTTGGCACGGCCATCAAACAGAGAAAGTTAGTTATAGAGGACAAGAATGCAGCATTATGAACTCAGTACAGTACAGATGGAACTGAGATTCATCATTCCAAACCTTGAACTGTGTGTTGATTTTGTGCTCAATTTTCTAATTATGCATCAACCTGAGAAATTACTTGGGCTTCTTGGATCTCTTTCCCACTCAGACGGAACAGAATGTAGGTAGATGTTCTCTCTCTGACATATTTTTCTCTGCTGCCCAGAATAAAGCAGGGGTCCATGCTAGATTCTAAAACAAACACACTGCTTAAGTATATTGTCTCCTGCCTTAACAGGAGACACAAGTTTCCTTTTCTCATCGTGTGTGTGTATACATTGATGAAATTGACCTGTGCTATTCTGAGGGCACTTAATTGGTTAATTTATAACAAGGTTTCCGGATGTTAAAAGAGGCCAACACATTCAGCGAGTGTCATGACAGTTGTCTACTAAGTTATCTTTGTCTCTTATAACTCCTTAAGGTCCTTATTCTTTCCTTTCCTCTCATGATTGCCTTTCTTAATTTCATTCTTTTTTTTAGATATGTGTATATGCACACACACCACATGACAGACTAGTCAGATTAGTTTAAAGGGTCAGCAATGTGTTCTCATGGTTTTGTTTATAACTAAAGGTGATGTTGTACTGGACTACATTATAGTCAGAGGTGTTCCTAATATTCTGACCTTGTCATGTAGCTGTGAAGGACAAATATAGAGACACCTCTGGATATAATGTAGTCCTATACAAAACCACCTTTTACGTATGACGTCAAACAATTTTACCAAAAACCAAAAAATTTTGAGCTTCATAAACACATATTAAGGCAGAAGTGTTGCATTGAATTACATACAATTGTACAAGTGTACCTAATAAAGTGGCTGGTGAATTTATATTCACCTCATTATACCTTGACCAAGTGAAGTGCTGCAGTAGCCTACCCCTATTCGTACCTAGCTATGGAGGTAGTTTTTGTGCAGAGCCTTGAAAAATTACTTTCAAAGATGTTGTGGTTACACAAATACGATTATCCACAGATGCAGATAGAACTGTAGCTGCTGATAAACTGTCTACTGTGAGGTTTGTGGATTATCCAGAATAAAAAGAATAATTTTGTTTTGACTAGTTATAACTGTTACTGCATTGTAGGTACTCTCTGTGCGCATTATCATTGCTTGTATTCATTTCAAAATTTTACAAGCTGAAAAATGTGCTAATAATATAATGTTTTGAATTAAAATTCATAAGTAAGACTGAATCCCACCTGTGTTAGGTTGTGCAGTAATGACTGCCATGTTTTGAGCATGGTATCTACATGTCATTTATGGTTGAGCAATATGACTGTATATATTTTCAGCTCTGATTTTTATGTACTGTTCATACATTACAATGGAAGCTATTCTTTTATCTTGTAATAGGCCATTTGTGGAAATGTGACATATCAGTGAGCAAGTATGGGGACACTTCTGGATTAATGTTTTTGAAGTATCTAGATCTGTCAGGTAAATAATTTATAGGATTAACCACAAAACATACACTCCTGTCCAGTTATTTTATGCACCAACAGTTGGTATAAAATTATATGTACTGTCATGGAAGATATTATCCATCTGACCCTATATGTTTATAATAACGTGAGGGTATTAATGTTAAGTAAGGTAAGTTTAATTTTTATGTCTCATATTTTAATGGTCAAAAAATCCTACGCCGGTCCCACTGATTTAACAGGTTTCAAATTCCAACTGTGAAGTTCTCAGTAATCAAATAATCATTTGGTCAACAATTCCTTGCAATTCCTTCCAATTACATGCGGAGTGGCTGTTTTTTTTCTCTTCTGCATAGGTTTTTAAGGTCAGAGATTTATAGCAGCAGCCACAGAACACACTAAAACAACAGAGATGTGAATTATGTAAGTGCTTTAACATAAAACTGCACTGCTTATGCACTCCCTGTTTGTGTTTGCGTACAGTGGCCATTGTCAGAATATATAGATATGTGCTTCTCTGTGTGAACTTTTGTGTGCTTCTCAGTCTGCACACCCTGTACACTACGATTTAGGATAAACACTGCAAATGTGGCTTCCTTACATGATAACCCCATGATAGTTCTGTAATTATTATTGCAATGAACATAAAGGCAGAGGGATATATCAACTAGAACCTGTCTTGTGGGTGGAACCTGTCTTGTGACCTTCCTACACTGGTTAATTGATGCTAGGTATTGCCAGTGGAAATCATCTTGTAATTATACAAGCTGGCTAAGCTTTTATAGCTTCCTTTTTCTGTCCCCTTTTGCTTGTCTCTTGCTATTACTTTTTACTCCTACCTTTAAACGTCACCATCTTTCTTTCTTTGCCCTTGTCCTCATCGCTTTTTTTTTCTTTTGCTTACTTTTTATTCTTGGCTTGCCGTTAGCTCTGACTTTTTTCCATTGCAAAACACCTAATTTGTAATCAGAGCTGATAGATGCTGGCAAGCTTAAAGGAAAAAAAAACATGTAGCTATGGTGTACACAAGCCAAATGAATAATCACACAGAAGCACAGATGCACTGGACGTTTTGTCTGTTGACATCCATCCTTGTCCTGGCAGACTAAAATATGTATATATTTGTAATGTTTTTATATTATCACATTGCACTGTGTGATATTCAGTCCCTGCCCTAATTGAGGTTTATTGGTTTTCAAGATTTTTATTTGCCATTTATGCATAAACAGACAGTCTAGGCATATAGGAATTCTTATGCAGGGCTCTCCTGGAGTCAGATAGTTTAAAGCCAAAAGAACGAACACCTAGTCTAAATATAAGATTACCCAAGAATACAAAAAACAAGAATACAAAATAGTTGACAAAATTGTGGATACAGAAATAAGGTAGCAGGTAAAATGGGGAGTTTCAAATATTACACATGGTATTCCACCTAGTGGAATTGTATGTAGTATTCTACTCAGTAGGGTAATGAGGGGTTATTTCACAGGTTTTTCACATTTTGTATTTACTGTCCGTCTTACTGTGGCAGGGAAAAAGCTGTTGTAACATCTTGTTCTGTTATGGTTTAGTCCCCCTCACCAGGAGGGTGAGGGAGAACTGGGGGTGGACTCAAGATGGCTGACCCAGGTGCTAGTACAAAAAAGGTGGTTTAATGGAATAAAAACAACAAAATGACAACATAACAGGGTCCATAATACATACAACCAGGGAAGGGCAGTGATGACTAAGGAGACCAGGACGAAACAGGTAAACACACAAACTAACGGCAGGAACTAGAATAGCAGAGGATGAGAATGGACAGGTGAACGACAAAAAAAAAGAACCAACGTACACAATGTAATCCACAGCACAGAGACTGTCAGCATAGAAGACAAAAGGACATATTGCTAACCGCATAATTAGCGTGATAAGGTCAGGCCAAAACGCACAGGAACTGTCAGCGTAGCATCTTAAACACGTCTAAAAATGCGGGTCCAACATAACATTTATCTTACTTTGGGTAAGTATTGTCCATTACATGTCGCAATGATCCGGCCCAGGCGGAGCGTCTGCCCGAGGTATAAATAAGGAGGAAAACTAATCAGCGGGATGCACCCCAGCTGTGTGCACCGACAAACGAGTCGCCAATTACCGAGTGCAACACAGCTGAGGTGCAGAATCCCGCAGATCAAGAAAATAGAGGAGAGAAAGGTGGATGAGAGGCAGCGGCCGCCAAGCGGCCCTGACATGTTCTGTGTATTCTGTTTTACCACTACTACTTCTATAACATTTGAAAGAACTTGATATACAGTATGTGTGAGTGAGAGAGACCTGTTTGAGGTCATGTATTGAAGGTCGCTGCAGGGGAACAAGCCAGGCTTTGTGTTCTGCCTGGCTGATCAATACATTGTCCTAGCTGCTGTCCTACTTCATACTGAGTGGGGGTAACATACACATACTGTAAAGGATATGCACAATGCAGCAGCAGCACAACTGAAAGCAAATGCGTCTAGAGATGAATTGCAGTTGGCCTGTAATGCAATGTGTGTTCCTTTCAATATCTTCTGGTGCTCCATGAACCTACGGGTAGCCCAGTATATCAAACTGTGCTTATTTCTTTCCCTCTATGGCCAGTCTCGTTAAAATTTGCACCACACTTGTTCCACGCCCCTGCTCATCCAAGGTTATGAAATGCATTTTTCAAACTAGTATGGCTCATTTCAAAGATGGACCATGGAG